GCATTACCGAAAAAGCGCTGCGAGAATCTGCGTAGCGCTGTCTTCTCTGCAGTGCAAATGAACGACCTATCACCACGTGAAGGTGCTCGGCGAATAGGGGCGCTGAACTCATGTGGGCGGAGGGAGCAGTTCCAGAAAACAGTGGCGCAACTCTGCTACCTAAAGGTAGCATACACAGTAACTCTATTCCTCATATAGAAGCACCGCCATCCAGCGGAAATTCCAAGGACTGAACGAGAGGAGGCACACACATACTTTCTTACGGCTTGAGATTCGTATCTACTTCTCACCTTTAGCCACCTCGAGCTTGTTCACTGTATTCATGGCACTGTGGCCCAACGCTCGCTAAACCTTTCTAAAACCTAGGAGGTTACGCCCAGCGAGTATAACGTAGCAACCCTTTCTTGTCAGATAGTGCTCAATGTACATTCCAATGGCTGCTGAGGGGGAATAAGAGACAGGAGAATTCGGCCTTTAGTTAACGCTCATGCTGCGAATTTTTTATTGTTCAACAACGCACAGAAGAAATCTCCCACTGGCACCACCTTGGAGGTCAAAATCTAAGACTGGTTACACACAACTACTACGACTACGAGGGACAAACCAGTGTCGCTATAAGAAGCTTCGCCCCTATCCTTTTTCGGTATTTAAAAAAAGTGACTCCATTCGCATTCTGGGGCTTGATTATACTTGCTACGGCATGTCAGCCTCCTTGTGGAATTCAGTAGTCGAGGATGTAAAACGACACGTTCGGGAAGCACATGAGTATGATTTACCGATGGTCGAAAGAAGGTATTTTAGCACAGACGGTGTTTTGCAGCCGTGCATGGTACATATCTCATGTCGTACAGCCCCCATTACGAATCACCAGGTCGTTGCAATACCTCATTGGCTCTTTTTTCTGGTCAGGTGGAACAGGGCTGGTTTGCCGAACAGCTCTTGGGCAACCGAGAAACTGCGGTGGATTCGCATTCCCATCCGTCTCTCTCTTCGCTGCCGGCTGCTTGCCCTACGATTCTTACTTCGGTTGTTGCATGGTGATCAGTGCCCCGCGCGTGATCTTGCCTGCTATTTCTTAGGCACCAAGTTACGCTATTTACTACCAGGTGCACAGCTTAAATCTGCACTGCAAACACTTAATGTGCCTGCATTCTACTCAACAGCAGTAGCATTTTATCGACACGCGCAGCAGATTTGTCCCGATGTGGACATTCTTGAAATCCGCATTGTAGATACAACGGCGGCTCTTCTGCTTCCTCTGGTTCCTCCAGCCCGTCTAGCACGATCGAGACGTCTCGTGGAGCGCGATCACGGCATCGTTTTTGTCTTGTCACCTCCGTGACTTTATGTGGCATCTTGGATGGAGAGTACTCCCAACACGGGACAGACTAAAGAGGTGGGGCATGGTCCCATCTTCCACTTGTCCTAACTGCCCGTTACAGGAGTCTAGCCACCATATCCTGCAGCAATGTGTCATTGCAAAGGTGTTTTAGAAGTCAGTTAACACTAGTTTTAGTGGCCTAGGTGTTAATCGCTTTGTAATATCTCGTCGCTGCTCGCGTAGTCGCTTTGCACGCCTTCTAATAGCTGCAGGAGCTTTTTGTATATGGCGTAATAGGTGCGAAGCTGTTGCGGCAGGTCATCGTCGTCGTGCTCTTTTTCCGATTCAGGAACGCCTCTACTCTGAACTCTTGTCGTTTCTGTCGGAGGAATTGTTCTTCCTTGGGGAGGAAGAACTTCTGCGACAATGGTCGTGCCAATTTCTGTCCGTAGTTGACAGACGCGTTCGATTAGTCTTCCACCTGGCCTATTCCCTATAGCCCGATCACCTGTCAATGTCTGATCGGTTCATAGGATCAGTATGTGTTTACTATTTCTATGTGTTTTTGTATGTCCCATATGGGTGTGTGCTTTTCTATATATGCATTTCATTCTAATGCTGTAAGTTATGTAACTTTTATGAATATTGATACCTGTTGTACATATTTTCTAACATCTTCACCAAGTCTTGTAAATTCTGTACATATATCATCATGTACATTGTCCATATTGTGATTAGTGTATTTATGTAGTGTATGTATAGTTATTAGTACAATGGACTATGGACATCCTAAGAAATTGGACACTTTTGTTTAAATGTGTTATGTATGTTGTGCTTTGTCTTTCGTTTGTTATTGTGCCTGTTGTACACACGCTTGTCTCGTAGGTTTGTTGCGTCCCAAGAGAGAATAAACTTTTTCTAAACACACACAAGAAAAAAAAACACCTGGCCTGCGCGGAAGACGCTGCACAGTCACAGCGAAAACTAGAAGAGCGGACTTTCAGAGCGTTTTCAAAACACTCATTAGGTAACTACTGTAAGCACACTTTGCTTGATACCCACTAGAACATTAATAATAAAGTTCTGGGTAGTAGGCCGGCATTCGATTTGCCATTTTAATGGCGTAGCATTTCTTAGTGAACTTCGGCGACTTTGAGCGTATCAATTTATCTGTCTTCCTGCCTGCCTGCCTGCCTGTCTATCTATCTATCTATCTATCTATCTATCTATCTATCTATCTATCTATCTATCTATCTATCTATCTATCTATCTATCTATCTATCTATCTATCTATCTATCTATCTATCTATCTATCTATCTATCTATCTATCTATCTATCTATCTATCTATCTATCTATCTATCTATCTATCAAGCCGCCTGCTACTATTAGCTGTCCTAGCTATTTCGATGATGGCATCGATACCAATCATGGTATGGCATAACAAGACTGTATGAAAAATTTGGTTGAAGCGCACTAAAAAAACGGATGGACAGAGAGGCTGACAAGCGCTTTCTTTGTCAGCCTCTTTTGTCCTTCCGTTTTTTAGTGCGCTTCCACTAAATTTTCAATTATGAACGTAATCCAATTGGACAACTTGCCATCTTGCTGTATGAAAAACATTTTGACTAGAAATAACATGAAAATCACGACATGTATGTCAAGAATGACATGATTTACATTTCATGGTCCTGCGGCTCGTTCGGTGGTTTCGTTCACATAGCATGTTAAAAAACTGGTATGGTATGACATGATTGCATGACGAACACAAGCGACAGACTCTAACATAAAAATCATGACTACATGCCACGCTCATGATATCATGACTACATGTATGTACATCATGTACATCATGACTACATGCCACGCTCATGATGCGCTCGGGGCCGTTTCGCTAGCGTCACATATAGAAAATTTGGTATGATGGCACGGGAATGAATAATGAAGGTATGACACTGGTGTAAACATAATAAACATGAGATGCATGTCATGTAACAACTTCACTGCATGCTACGCTCATGATGAGCTCGCGGTCGTTTAGCTATAGCGTCACATATACAATCTTGGCATGACGGTACGTGAATGGATGACGAAGGTATGATACTGGTGAAAACATGATAAACATGAGATGCGTGTCATGTAACAACGTGACTACATGCCACACTCATCATGTGCTCGCGGCCATTTCGCTAGCCTAACATATGCCAAATTTGGTATTACGTGACGTCCATGGATGGCGAAGGTATGTCACTGGTGCAAACACGATAATCATGAGATGCGTGTCATGTCAGAACTTGACTACATGCCACAGTCAAGGTGAGAATACATTTCGACGTCACGCGGTGCGCCTGCTCGCCGGCGTTCCTTTCGTGCGTCATGCCGGCGTTGCCACGCCAGGCGCCGCTCTTGACACATACTCGCAGGCACGCGCCGTGCTGCGTTGCTTTGACGCATGCGCGTTTCAGCGCGTCCAGCGTCCATCAGTCACGGAAAGAGGAAGATTTAGTGCTGTGTCTGGGTAACACATTGGCGCGAAATGCAACATGTCGCAACATGTCGCAACAGCTCGACAAGCGTCCGTCGCCGCGCCGACGGACGCTGGTCGCGCCTGTCACGCCTGGCGTCAGGCTATAGAGTGATCACGTTTAGCTAACGTAGCCTAGTTGTGCCTACAACACTACATTGAAGTATATTGGGCCCTTCATCATGCGTCCGCGGTCATTTCGCTAGCTCAACATATCTATTTGGTGTCACGTGACGTCAAGGGATGATGAAATATATGACTGGTACATCATAATCCTGACACGTGTGTCATGTCATGTCAATAATGACATACATGTCATGATTTTCGTGGTTTGATTAGTGAAATATTCTCTCGCTACAGTCATGTTATGCCATACCAAGTTTGGTAGAGATACCATTATCGAGACGACCAGGAGAGCTAGGTGTGAATAGCGGTTAGATAGATAGATAGATAGATAGATAGATAGATGAATAGATAGATAGATAGATAGATAGATAGATAGATAAATAAATAGATAGATGAATAGATAGATAGATAGATAGATAGATAGATAGATAGATAGATAGATAGATAGATAGATAGATATATAGATACGCTCAAAGTTGCCGATGTTCCATAAGAAATGCTTCGCATTTATTATCACCTGCGTCAACACAGATGTCTCAGTACAACGGCATGTCCGCTGCTCGACACGTGTGAAATGGCACAGCTGCAAGTGATGGAACCTATCATGGGATCCCTGTAGGCGTTTAGCGCAGCCGTTCAAAGAATAATTAAAGTATGGAATCGTTAAGTGCTCTAGCGAAAAAACTGTTTGCGTACTTTGCAGCTGACTTTAAAGAACGACATTATGGCGATAGCGACAGCATTTGCAATAGTTTGCGCATTGAGAGAAATGAACAACTGCTATCATAGTGTGCCTGATCTCTTATTTTACGTACATGCGAAACGGTCCCATGAAAATAGCACCTGCATTATGCCAAATACACTTGGCCATGAGAAAAATGTCATGCAGCGCCGGCACGCGTTATCGCTGCTAGTTCCGATTCGGGGCCTGCAGATGTATAGCCTTGAACTTCTGCGTGCTATATAACCATCGCAAACACACAGCAGCTGCTGGTCAGAGAAATGAAGCACCATATGGCTTTTTTTTGCAGTAGTTAGCGCAGTACTGGTTGTTCTTCACCCCTGCGTCAGCATCCGCAATAAAAAACGGGTGTTTTATGAGTGTGGGGAGAAAATAGGTGAGCTGTAATGGTACCTTTCGATTAGCATGAAACCACCAAATCATTCGTGGCATGTCCAATATAAGTTCAAAAGTAGGTAGTTGTTCCAAGGATTTAGCGGTTAATTCTACTTTGGTGAGTAACTGAATGGCGTTAAATTAGGCTAATAATTTTTGTACCCTAAAAGGCCGGAGACAGGAGTGCGGTACAGAAAATATGAGTAAGAAAAATAGGAAAAACAGGAAAAGCAAAAAAGTAGACGAACGCGCCATTATTATGCCCTGATAGCGTCAAAACTTCGTAAATTATGCACCTAATATAGACTTTTAATAGGAAATTTGATCTAGTCATAAAGCGTGACGGATCACTTAGGGTGTCATTCTCGTCTCAGGAGCGCGAATTGTGAAATTAAGAAACTCTAAAGTGAAGACTTCAGGTATGTTAGTCAGCTGCGTATGCCTTGTGCTGTATCCTGACAGCATTATATGGCCTGCCGGCAAAACCATTCCGAGAGCCTGTTCTCACCCCTACCCACCAATTAGTATTATACCTTTGTTTACCAAGACGAAAACCAACAATATCTGCCACTCATGGTTCAAATGCGTGCAATATGTAGAAACAGTGAAGTTTCATTGCATTGACAGTCATTTTTAAGATCACACAATGCGAAGTTCCCGAAATGATTTTTACGGCATCACTCTGTGCTGTGAACATTTTAGTAGGTTAGTTAGGGCACTCATTTGTGACGCCATCAGTTTTAACAATAAACGAATATTTCGAAAAAAATATATCCCTATTTGATACGTGAAAATTATTATGCTGTTTCAACTTGCAATTTTTTTTAGTTTGATTTATATATCGGATAGATGGTAACACAGCAAGAACAGTAAGGGTATATAGAAATGCGCAGAGCACAACAAGCCGCCAGATATATCGTTCATTGATGAAGAGAAGGCGTTTGATTCCGTGGAGATACAGCAGTAATAGAGACACTGTGGAAGGAAGATATCAACGAAGCCTATAAGAACACACTGGAAAAATCCACAGCAAATTCATAGCCAACATAATAGTCCTCTATAAAGAAAGTGACAGAATCATTCCAAAGAAGACTGTGAAGTAGGGCGACCCTATCAACGGTGAAGTTCTTTCAATCAAGCCTAAATGCTTTAGCTTCAGGACTAGGAGGCCGTGTTGCCGGTGAAAACAAATTCCAGCAAAGGCGCAAACATTAGGCAAGGTAGTCATTATCATCATCAGCAGCAGCCTGACAACGGGCACTGAAGAAGCAATGGCATCTCTCATCTTCTGCTTATCAAACCAGTATCATGCTTAGTGCTGCCGAATTACACCTGAAAACTTCATAATCTCATCTGTCTGCCTAACTTTCCCTCCCCCTTTCACACGTTTGCCTTCTCTTGAAACTCAACCAGTTACCTTTAATTGCCAGTGGTTATTGTCCCTACGCACTGCGTGTCCAGCCTATGCCCATTTGTTCTTCTTGGTTTCAAGTATGACACCCTTCATCCCAGTTTATTCCCTGATCCACTCTGCTATTGTCCTGTCTCTTAAAGTTAAACATATTCCTTTGTTTTCCGTAGCCCGGTGACTCGTCCTCTATTTAAGTAGAACTCTCTCTGTAAGTAAGGAATTGTTAAGTGCTCTAGCGAAAGAACTTTCCTTGCGTACCTTGCAGCCGGCTTTACATGTTAACACAGCCAGCACAGTAAGAGTATATAGAAATGCGCAGAATACAACCAGCCACCAGACATAGTCTTGATAGAATAAGGGAAAACGTTTGATTTGGTGAAGATATAGCATGTGCTCCACTTCATCTTTGTTCTTCTATATTTCATTTCCCTCATGGTTCAGCTCCGCGGTTACTACTTGCCCCCAGTAGACGCCTTCCTTTACAACTTCCAGTGTCTGGCCACCTATCTTGAAACGGTGCTTAGCCAAAGTTGTTGCACATTCTAAGACATCATCATCATCACCACCACCACCACCACCACCACCACCCCACGGACCGCAACCGCAAGACGGCCACAACCTCATCGTGTCAAGCCGCCCGTCAGTCCCCCACGTATGACAACGTCACACGCATTGTTCGTCGGGAAATCGAAGCCGCCTGTCCAGCTCCTCTTCAGCCACCCGTTTTCGCAACGCTCGCCTCTGACCAACAACAGCCGTCAGTGGCGTTAATACAAGCTGTGGTGAGGCAGGAGTTTTCGAATGTCGGCCTTCCATCAGCATGTCCCTTGACTCGCCCTGAAGTCCCGTCTTACTCCCGAGGACACGCTCGCCGTTCACCTCCAACAATGCCCTGCCGCAACCCTTCGGAATGGCGAACAGCCGACGACCGGCCTATTGGATTTACCTGCCACGAGCCTGGGCACGTTTCTCGCTATTGCCGCCGCCATTGGTCAAACCAACCACGTCAGACTTTCTCTACCTCAGCGCTCATGCATCCGAGGACCCCTCGACGTTCAGTCGCCGCACCCTTCAATTTCTATTCGTCGTCATCTTACGAGCCTTCCACTGATGCTCCTTTGCCTGGTCGCTGCTACCCTGACGCCCCTTCATCCGGTCGCCGCAGCTCTCGCTCCCCATCACCGCTACGTCGCCGATCCCGCTCTCCGCCACCTCGGCGCTTTTCCTCGTCGAGCATTTCTGGACGACCGCAGCAGGAAAACTAGATATTGCAGCTTATAGAGGTGAAGCTGCAACACCAATGACGGCCGAAAATCCTCTACTGACGCTTTCCATGCATCATAGCTTGTTTGAAGTACAAGTCGACCATGTTTCTGTGACCGCCCTCATTGACACAGGTGCGCACCTGTCTACTATAAGCGCTTCTCTACGCTGCCGCTTACAAAAGATTATGACGCCATTTACGATGCAGGCAATACGTGTTACCGATGGCGGTACTGTACCAGTAATCGGAATGTGCACTGCGCGTGTCAGCATTGCTGGTCGTCACGCCGTGGTAATTTTTGCCGTGCTAGCCTGCTGCCCTCATGACCTCATACTTGGCCTTGATTTTCTTTCGGCACACTCGGCCTTAATTGATTGTTCGTCTGGTACCCTCAGCCTTGATCTACCAATATTTGCCGACTACTCTGCAAAGCCCACCAGCCGCTTGAGCCCAACCACTTTCGTTCGCCTGCCACCTCGAGCCGTCACGTGCGTGCCTTTGTCATCGACCCTTCCTGTTCCTGACGGTGATTATATCGTTACGCCAATTACTGACGTTCAGCTGACGCGCAGTGTTACTGTGCCCTATACCATCTGACCATAGCGGATAACTGTGTGTTACTTCCGCTCCTTAATTTTGGTTTCACCCCTCAAGTGTTGCCCTGCCAGATGTCTCTAGCCCAGCTAACTGCCATACCAGAGGACGATGTCAGTGTTGTCGCTGTATCTGCTCTTGATCAAAGCGCAGTCTCACGGTCACCCAGCTCGGACGATGGTATTTTTCGAAACATGACTGGATCGGAGCTGTCGCCTCACCAGGCTGACGCTCTTTGCGAATTTTTGGCCTCATACAGTGACATTTTCGACACAGACGATTGTCCCTTGGGCCAGACTAAAATTGTCACTCACCGAATCAACACTGTTGACTCTGCGTCCATTCACCGTCGGCCGTACCACGTGTCAGCGTGCGAGCGAGAAGTGGTTCAGAAATGAGTGGCCAAAATGCTTGCGAAAAACGTAATCGAATTATCAACGAGCCCTTGGGCATCTCCCGTGGTATTAGTAAAAAAGAAAGACGGCTCATGGCGTTTTTTCGTTGATTATCGCCACCTCAACAAAATAACCAAAAAAGACGTGTACCCTCTACTACGCATTGACGATGCCCTTGATTGCCTCTAAGGCGCCGCCTTTTTTTCATATCTCGACCTCCGATCTGGCTACTGCCAAATTGCTGTAGATGACATGAACCGAGAAAAGACCGCCTTCGTTAGCCTTGACGGTCTTTACCAATTCAAGGTCATGCCATTCGGGCTCTGCAACGCTCCAGCGACCTTCGAGAGAATGATGGACACGCTCCTACAAGGATTTAAATGGTCGACATGTTTGTGTTACCTGGACGCCGCGATCATTTTCTCACTTACCTTTGCAACCCACCTTGAACGCATTTCGACCATTCTATCCATATTTCGCCGGGCCGGCCTGCAGCTCAATTCCTCCAAGTGCCACTTCGGTGTTTGTCAGATTACCGTATTAGGTCACCTTGTTGACGCTGCTGGCTTACGGCTAGACCCGGCGAAAGTACGCGCTGTAAGAAACTTCCCAGTCCCACGATCTGTCCATCTTGTTCGCAGTTTTGTGGGCCTCTGCTCCTACTTTCGTCGGTTCGTGAAAAACTTCGCGGCACTCGCACGGCCACTCACTGACCTTCTCAAACAAGACGTCCCATTTTGTTGGGGCCCTCCTCAAGCTGACGCATTCTCTCAGCTAATCACCCAACTAACGACACCTCCTATTCTTACATTCGTATATTTCGACCCCGATGCTCCTACAGAAGTGCGAACAGACGCGAGTGGTCACGGAATTGGTGCAGTTTTGGCACAAATTCAGCAGGGCAACGACCGTGTAATCGCGTACGCAAGCCGTCTTCTTTCTAAGTCTGAACGCAATTATTCTATAAGAGAACGGGAATGTCTCGCTCTTGTTTGGGCGGTTTCGAAATTCCGTCCTTACTTGTATGGGCGCCCTTTCCGTGTCATCACAGATCATCACGCGTTGTGTTGGCTTTCTTCTCTGAAGGACCCCACTGGACGACTTGGTCGTTGGGCATTACGCCTACAGGAGTATTTCTACTCGGTTGCTTATAAGTCTGGACGTCTCCATCTGGACACCGATTGCTTATCCCGCTACCCTGTTGATCAGACCGACGAACCAGACATCGAGCCTATCCTCAGCGTCATGTCAATGTCCCAGTTTCTTCAGATTGGTGATGAACAACGTCGTGATGCTTCTCTGCGACAACTTATTGACCGTCTTGAATCTGCTCCGAA